AAATAAATAAATAAATAAATAAATAAATAAATAAATAAATAAATAAATAAGGTAGGAAGCAATCAAGGAAAATACCAGATGTCACTTTCTGGATTGCACATACACTTGTACACACACACACACACACACACACACACACACAGAGAGCAGACCTTTAAACTTTTACTGCCAATAGAGCTCCTACAATAGAGCTCCTACAGCCCACAGAAAACCAGCCAAAGAAAGCCAGAGTTGGGTGCAGGAAGAGGACAAAGTCCCTGGCCTAGACAGCCCCCCACCTCAGTCAACAGGTACCCAGAGCATTTGGGGTATCTTATCATCTTGCTAAGAATGCCCTAGTTGACAAGGAAGAGTGATTTGTCATATCATCCTGAATTCCCAGTATGTGGCCTCTGTGTCCTGGAGATATGACTCATCTCAGCATCCAGACAATCAGGATAATCTGTCCCCATCTTTTCTGCTGCCAGATGGAGTTTCCTAAATGAGGAAGCTCAACAGTGCACACCACCACCATCGCCCTTCCCTGCTGACCAAGAAGAGACAAGAATGAACAAAGTTTGTTTGTTTCTCTGTATATAAGGTAAAGCTCTAGAAAGCTTTCACAGCAAGGCAGATGCAAAGGGTCAAAAAAAGATTCCAACGGCTTCCAAAGGTCCCAAGGAAGTCTCCAACCTCAGAGGTCAGATAGGGCTACCTAACAGGACACAGCGGTTCTACTCTCCTCTCTGTATACCCACAGAAATCAAACACATGTCTCTTTCTTAAAGGAACCTGCTCCAGATGTCTGAATGCTTGGAACTTCTGCTTGACTGTTGAAGAGGGATTCAAGGCAGCTCAAAGTCCCTGTATCTAGGAAGGGAGTAGAAATCCCGAAAGCAAAAGATATGGCATGCTGACCCCAGCAAGCACTGCTTTCTAGGAACCCCACCACACACACACACACACACACACACACACACACACACACACACAAACACACACACTCACTGGTCACCTTTTTCACCTTGCCACATCCCCTTTTCCAATGGACCCACACTTCTGGATCAGTGGCCATAGTTCTGGGATGTGGTTAGCCCCTAAGCATGGTGGATCCACACACACTCCTGCACAGCTTTCTAGCTTGAGCAGATTTAGGACCCAGTCTCTAAGTGGGAGCTGAGAAGGGAGCTGTGGTCCTGAGTATCAACTGAGAGGAGCTCCTGAGAAGACAGTGGGAAGACTGGGCTCTGAAGAACTTGCTCTTCTGAAGAGCTATGTGGAAGAGACAGAACTCTTCTAGTGCTACAGAAAGATGGCTGCTCAAGATGCCAGTGCGAGAGGGCTGGTTGAAGACTAAGAACATACAATGCTATTTGTAAGGTCAGAGGCCAAGGAGAACATTTCAGCAGCACCTGGATGCTGAAAGCAAACCTGTGATGGTAGACAAGTTAAGCATCAAAGTAATCCTACAGAGCAGTAAAAATATAGACACAGGACACCCCAGTTCAGGACCCTGATTCAAATTCCAAGATCTGGGACAAACATCTCCTAGGAGGTTGGGGCTACCTGCTGATCTGGTGGAGAGTGCTCCTGTCTGTTGAAGAAAATTCCTTGATAGATTTCTTGATTCTCCTGCTGAAGCCTGGGTGACCCTGCACCCCTGTTCTATCTACCATGAAGGTCAGACCCACAGCCTACCTTGGCTGAAACAACCTCACACATCACCCAGAGCCACCTTACTTGGTACAGAATTTCCTCTGCCACATATTCTGGTCCCCACTGACTGCACCTTAAACATCCTTGGAGACAGGCAGTTCAGTGTCACC